TTCTTAATGTCCAACTTAAAACGCCCTTGCTGCAATTTAAGCCCATTGCCTCTTGTCCTGTCCTCAGAGGTTAAGAACAATTTTTCTCCCTCCTCCTTGTAGCAACCTCTTATGTACTTGAAAACTGTTATCATGTCCCCTCTCAATCTTCTCTTCTCCAGACTAAACAAACCCACTGTTTTCAATCTTCCCTCCTAGATCATGTTTTTATATGATATTAAAATACAATACATATATAAATATTAAAAATCAATATTTTAGTATGGTATAAAAGTCCAAATGAATCAAAATGACACTGTCAAAATGTATTGAATATTGCCAATTGGTGGTGGTGGTGGGGCGGGGGTTGATGGAAAACTTCAGTCAAAAATTCTTCAACCAGCTCTGTGCTACCTTTTTCATTCTTATTTTTATAGTAAGTATAAGGGGATTGTGAAAATTTTTGATTCTACGCATGAGGTCACTATGACATTCTGTGCCCCAAAGCAACAACCTCGGAGGGAAACCCGTCACAGTCTGCCACCTGAAAAGATTAAGAATCCCCGCTCTAGCATGACGCCTGCATGGATGAGGAATCAAGCTTAGGAACATAAGGAGTTTCAGTGCAGCGAGCACAATGAGAAGGCCCCTTCTCTCTCCTCCCATGGAAAGGTTGGCAGGAAACCGAAAAACCCAGCAGCTCTGCAGCCAAGTGCCGATTGGGGCTTCTCTTCCTCTGCATGGGGTTTGATGAGCCTCTCAGTCTAGCAATCAGTTTACAGGTCAGCTGCTGCCATCTCCTGGGCAGACACTTGAGAGTTGAACATTACTGATATTTGCAGGGAATCAACAGCTCTATCGTTCCTTCCAGCCAGCCCTAGACAGGGCTCTGACACAATTTCTGTCTTGTGCATCTCCTTAGTGAGGGGCAAGCTGTCCTGAAGCCTTTCCTGCCGTCGAGACATTTGTAGGGCTTCCCTCCTGTATGGAATCACCGATGGATAGTGAGGGTTGAGTTTGCCCGGAAGTTTTTCCCGCACTTGGAGCAGATGTATGGTTTCTCTCCCGTGTGGGTTTTCTGGTGTTTAGTGAGGGTCCTGCTGGTCCTGAAGCTGCTTTTGCACTCTCGCCCGTGTGAATTCTCTGGTGGACAGTGAGGCTTGAGTGGACACCATAGCTTTTCCTGCAGTAAGGGCACTGATGGGGTTTCTCCCGTGTGGATTCGGTTGGGTCTGAAGAGGGCTGATCTACTGCTGAAGCTTTTCCCTCATTCAACACTTAAGATATTCACCTTCCTCATCTGTGATGTTTGCTGTCACAGTGTGTGTCACCTTTTCCCTTAGGAGAGAACTGACCCCGTCTGTTCCCTGACTGTTTTTGCAACCTTTCTGACCTGCGCTGGATCTCACAGACTTTGCCCTTCACCTGCTCAGGACTTTTGAAAACTTTCCCTTTGGATCTCTGTGATGTCACTAGAGAATTCTCCTCCTCATTCTCTGACTTGTCATCTGTTTGAATGAAAGGGACAATCCAGACATATCACTCCCTGTGCTAGGGGGAAAGGAAACCTCAGAAAGGGGAAGAGTAAAAGGGGATTCGGAGGAAGCCAAATAGAAGAATTGTTTGGGAGACTAAAATATGAGAAGTTGAATCCTTCAAAGCTTTATCTCCAGAGAACAGGGAGGAACATGACCAATTTTGTTTCCACATCCCTAAGGGGAAAAGGAGGGAGCCATTGCCAGGTGTCAGCTAGGACGGGTGATAACCCATGAGTGACATCTGCCAGGAGGATACAATGCTGGCTGGGCACAATCCTGACCTGGGTGAGATGAGGCAAAACCAGGGGATCTCACGGGAATCCCAGGATTTTCCTTTCCTCGGCCACGGTTTCAGAGTTGGTCTAGCCAGTTCCTCCTCTGCACTCTACTGGGAGCTCTGGAGATCCGGGACCCAGGCCTCTTCCCCTTGCTCCAGCCAGGCAAGCCAGTCAGTTTGTGAACTGGAAATCCTGCGAAGGTGAGAGCAGGGAGAGCTACAGACCTGTAGACTATTTCTCACAAAGAACATGCCAGCGGTTTTAACCCCAGCCCACTTAAAGGCAGTAAAATCCCAGAGTCAGCTCCCCAGGGACTTGCATCCACAGGACACCCTGCTCATGGGGGGTTTAATCTCCACTGGGAGCACACACAGCCAGACACTCATCATCAAAGGGGCATGGAAGGTAAGTCCATCACTGTCCATATCCCAGAAAGGGGAGACTCTGGCCACAGGGGAAGCCACTCCTTACCGCCAGAGAGGCGCAGCGACAGGGAGAGTCATAGGGAAGCTGAGACCAGTGAGCGTGAGCTAGTGGGGTTCAGCACAGTCAGGAAGTGGGGCATGGACAGTGGGTAATGGAGGCTGGGGGAGGCTAAGCCTCCCCAAACCTCCGCTAATGCTCCCCGCTGCAGCCCCAGGACCAGGCCGTGGCTGGATTCAGCACTCCTCTGGGTAGCCTGGGCTCAGGGCTTGGGGCTCCTCCAGACTGCTCCGGGTGCCAGGAGGCCGGCCAGGGTTTGGGGCTGCACCGGCGGGCTGGACGGCGAGACGGGGGTGGAAGAGGCTGAGCGGGGCAGGGCCTTGGGCAGAAGGGGCGGGGCTTCAGGCACAAGGCTAGCCTCCCCAAACGGGGGGTGCACATGCTGCCCATGAACTGGGATGTCACCAAATGCAGCAGTCCGGGGGCATCCGATGTCCACAACATACATTAGGGGAATTAGGATCTCTAGGGAGTCAAGTGCAGCGAGAGGGAATATTGGGGAAGGAGGAAAATGACTGATGTTTTAAACTCTGGTAGTATCCAGAAACTGCAAAGAGGACTGGGGCTCCCTCGCGCTGGGAGTTTACAAGCATATAAAAGAGACACACAGTCCCTGCCCTGAAGAGCTTCCAAGACAGGACTGAATGAATGAGTGTAACGAACAGCAGTAGAACGAGGGAGTCCGGAGAAGAGGAACAAGAATAAGAACTGTTAGTGACACAGATGAACAATGTGCACAGCCCGAGTGCACCAAATCAAATGACAGTATTAGCTTGTTTCCAGCGACCTCTCTGTGGATTTCTGGCTTTCATTTCTATTGTTTTTAAACGGGTGTAATTTAAAATAAACCAACCACCTCTCTACCTGTTTCTCTTTCTTTTTAAAATCAACCTATTTCTATCACTTTAACAGTTGAGAGGGACGTCTCGGGTGAATTCCTCTGGAAAAGGAGCATGCGAGAAATGAAAATCAGGCCACGTGTCCTCAGAAGGGATTGGCTGAAAGACATAAGGATAAAATGAACTGGAACAAGGATATTGAGCAGCTCTGGCCACTGGTCTTCCTTAAGGAGGGCACCTTGATGTGGTGAAACCCATGAGCCTTCCAATGACCATAACAACTATGCAAGTGGGATTTTTAAGTCCAGATAGGGCTACCCAAGCCAGAGCAGCCAAAGGGTAGGGAGCAGATGAAAAGCAATGCACTGCTCCTCCAGGTTGGGGGGAGAGCGACAGTGGGCACCGACCCCACTGGGGGAGCAGCAGCTGCTCAGCCAGGCTCCCAGATCACATGGAGGCAGCAGCAGCATCTGAGCCAGGAAGCTCAATTCCCAGTATGCTTAGCAGAGGGAGAAAGAGAAAACAGCCTCCTTACCTTAGCACTCACCCGAGCCCTCTGGTGGCAGCAGCTAATGAAACCCCTTCCCTACGCTCCCCACAGACAGACACATGGCAGAGGAAGGATCTAGCCTTCTCCCAAGCTAGAGCAAAACTAGCATGACAGTGCCACAAATAAAGGAGACCCCTGCAGCTCAGCACCAGCAGATGCTTTCAATATGGGGGCACTTTCCATCCATCCTGGGTATCCTTATAACGTGCCCTTCCTCCACCTCCTTTGGTCTCCTCTTTCCACGATCAGCCGCTTATATGAAGAGGAAAGACAGCAACGTTTTCTGGAATCCCCCTGTAGGGAAGAAGGCCCCGAAAATGCAAGTTCGACAACGTGGTAATTAACACACGAGAGTCCGATGAGAAGCCCCAGTCCCCTCTCCTCCACAGTGAAGCACGGACTGAGTCTTGGCCTGCATTTAAAAGTTACGTCGGCATAGCTATAGTGGGTCAGGGGTGTGAGAAAAAACACACTCTTGACCAATGTAGCTATGCTGGTCAAATAGACATTTAGAATCAGCTTTTTATTACTGTCCAGCAGACAGCACAAACTCAGGAGAGTAAAGCACCCACACGGCCCGGTATAAATGGTATAAATGCCATCTCCATCCACAGCCCCGCAAGGAACCAACCACACTCCAGCTCATGGGCTGTATCACCCATTGCACTGAAGCAGCAGCCTGCTGTGACCAGATGGGAGCTTGGCTCCGCTATTCCAGTGCAGAAGTTCACAGAGCTAACTAGGTAAAGAGTTCATGCGTTAGACGAGCAAAATGTCAACATTCATGCTAAAGTCAGGGATGCAAAAGAACTGTAATGATTACGTATATTAATTACCTTTCCAAATTGTTTCCCCAGGGAAATGTTTTTTGTACACACACAGACTCACCTAGACACCACATGTCCCTATTTTCCTATAGTCACGGTTCTCATGCTTAGACTCACCTAAACACCACTTGTGGCAAACCCCACATTTAAAAAGGGAATGGTTTTAAAGCTGCTCTCGAACTGCTTTTTAAATTACCCAGCCAGGCAGAACCATGGGTAATGTATTAATTCACCTTTTAGTTCACTGTGCTCCTGTGTAGTTTTAAACAAACATCAGGAACCACAAGCATCTCTTCAAGACTCTACATCTGACCTCACTGAGTCAAGCGACTGTTTCTCTCTCTCCCTGAGCTGATGGCAGCTTCACTGCTTGTGAGATCACTCGGGGCCAGTTTTTCAAAGATGCCTAAAGATGCAGGTTAGGTGCCTACTTGGATTTTCAAAAGCACCTAACCAGGTAAGGTGCCTAACTGCCATAGGTTTCTTTAGGTGCCTAAATACCTATGGAAATCTGGCCCTTGGACTATAACTCTGTGAGCTGCCTGCTACGTGCTTCCTTAACTTTTCCCCTGCATGCCAGCTACAATTCCTCATAGAAATAATGAGCTGTGTGCAGCTAATGCAGCGAATTCTCCAGCCTCAGCGTTCTCACCATCATTCACTGATTCTATGTCATTGGGTTCTAGGTACCTTGGGTGAAACTCGGTACCCCAAGACAAGTAATTGGGGGTCAAAAGGGGCTCTAATGTTTAAACCAGGAACGTACTCTGTGTGACACAGATGCCACTCACTGAGAAGCTATTAACTTGCACTGATGCAGGTTTCACCTGGGAAATAATATACATACATGTGTACACATTTTTATATACGTATCAGGTTAAATCCGGAGCCTGGACATGAACTGTCCAGCTCCATTGGATGTTACAATGCAGATTTCCAGCCTGTGCTATGGTGCTGTAAAGATACATTACAGACCTGTCTGCTCTTGCAGCAGTGAGAGCCACAGGTAAATCATATGCCGATCTGTGGTATTTCCCCCTCTCCATTTACAGATTTGCTGTCTCTCATACTCTGGTGCTGGAAACACGGGTGACAGTAGGAATGGTGTCGCATCTCACATCCTCTCCATATAGCATCAGACTGGCATTTCCTTTAGGCGTAGCGTCAGTGCAACTCCTCAGTTTCCCTAGTCAACAAAATCTAGTCTCTGGCCCTAGTGAATTATATAATTCAAGTCCCATCTCACCTGCTGTCCCACATCCTGCCAGGCCAGAGAAAAAGGGTGTGGAATGAGCATGGGAAATTTAAGAAATTTTGAGACAAAAAAAAATAAAATCCCAGTTCCCTCCCCACAAACCCCAAACAACTGACGCACCAGCCCCCAAACTTCTTTTTCTTCTTCCGCATTTCCCCTTCACCCTTGCCTGTGCCTCTCCCACACATGAATCTCCACACCACCAATTATTTATAACTGAATTTGTTTGAAAAGCCCTAGAGGAAGAACCAGGACCCGTGCCTATCTCCTGTGGATTTTCTGATGCCTGATAAGGTGCGAGCTCCGACTAAACCCTTTCCCACAGTCAGGGCACTTATAGGGTCTCTCTCCCGTGTGGGCTCGCTGATGCCTGAGGAGTTCGGAACTGTGGCTATAGCTTTTCCAGCAGTCCCTGCATTTGTAGGGTTTCTGTTCCAGGTGGTGTTTCTGATGTTTAACGAGTTTGGAGCTGGTGGCGAAGCCTTCCCCACATTCGGGACAACGGAAAGATTTCTCTGTCACATGTGTTCCCTGATGTCTGATGAGCTTGGAGCTCACGCTGAAGCTTTTCCCACATTCACCACATTTGTAGGGTCTCTCTCCCGTGTGGGATCTCTGGTGTCTGATCAGGTCTGAGCTCATGCCAAAGCTTTTCCCACAGTCGGCACATTTATAGGGTCTCTCTCCTGTGTGGAGTCTGTGGTGTATAATCAGGGCTGAGCTCCGAATGAACTTTTTCCCGCAGTCGGGACAGTCATAGGATTTTCTTTCAATATGGACTCTTTGGTGCCTAATGAGGTGTAAGCTCAGATAGAAGCTTTTCCCACAGTCGGGGCATCTATAGGGTTTTTCTCCCGTGTGGATCCTCTGATGCCTGATAAGGTTTGAGCTCAGGTTGAAGCTCTTCCCACAGTCAGGGCATTTATAGGGCCTCTCTCCTGTGTGTGTCCTCTGGTGAGGAATGAGGTACGAGCTGCGGCTGAAGCTTTTCCCACACTGAGGGCATTTGTAGGGTCTCTCTCCCGTGTGCAGTCTCTGGTGTATAATGAGGTCAGAAGTGCGACCGAAGTTTTTCCCACAGTCGGGGCAGCTGTAGGGTTTCTCTCCAGTATGGATCCTGCGGTGTCTTGTGAAGTTTGAGTAACGACTGAAGCTCTCCCCGCAGTCGGCACAGATAGAGGTTTTCTCCCCTGTGTGGATTCTCTGATGTTCAATGAAGCGGCAGCTCCATCGGAAGCTTTTCCCACAGTCGGGGCATTTATAAGGGTGATTCTCCCGGGCTTCTCCCAGCTCAGGACTCAGGGAAACACCACCTTCATCTCTTCCCGATACCGTCCACTGTGATTCCACTCGCTCAGGACCTTCCTGCTGAGGATTCTCCTCCTCGTTCTCACTCACCATCCCATCACCTGCTGGGACAGAGAATCCAGACATGAGTCCTCCCCTGTGCCGAGGTCAGAGAACCTCGGAAAGAGAAATGGAAAAGGGGAGTGCATTTAGTCCTGTCTTGAGTGCAGGGGACTGGACTTGATGACCGATTGAGTCCCCTTCCAGTTCTACAATTCTACGATTGTAAGATTCCATAAAACAAACAAAACTAAAACTGGATGATAAGATCAGTAACCGGCAAGTGAATTCCTCAAACCCTTCCCCAGAGAAGGGAGATGAGGGGACCCATTCTGCCTCCACATCCCATCTGGACACTCAGTGGGGAGGGAGCTACTGCTGGGTGTCGGTCGGGGTGGGTGGAAGGCCGGAAGCGCCATCTGCCATGAGGGTACGACACCTGCTGGGGACAATCCTGACTGAACCACGAAAAGGGGGAGCCCACGGGGGCGTTGGAAGGTTTGGGAGTGGGTTTAACTTTATCTCTTACCTGCCTGAGGGCCTCTCGGAGTCTCCTTTTCTGAAGAATCCTCAGAGTCCAGGACACAGGGCTCTTCCGCTTGGTCCATGTGGCAGATGGAGTCCGGTTTGGGGATTCTGCTCATCAGAAGGAAATGGGTGAGATCAGGACGGGCTAGGTCTCCATTCAGCATTTCCCACAAGAGAACATCCCATAACGTCACACCCAGCCCTTTTCTCTGCAGGTAGGAAATCTGATCCTCACGGATGGGGAACATGTTCACGAGACCCTGTGGGAGAGCTTAGTGCCTGCAGGGAGACGTGCCGTGTGTCTCATGAATCTCCAGACACGGGGAACTGATGACTTAGGCAGAGAGCAGATAATAAGCCGCTTGTCACAACACGGTAAGGGGCCAGCAACCCCAGGGATGGAATCAGGGGCACCAGAGCGGGGGGGGAGGGAGAGGGGGCAAGGCCCTCCCACTTTTTACTGGGTGAGTGAGGAGGGGCAAGGTGTAGAGAAGAGCAAGCGGGGGATAGTGTCTTGGGGGGAAGAGGCATCGCAGAAGCGGGACCTCAGGAGAAAAGGCGGTGCGAGGGTGGGGCCTCCAGGGGATTGAGGGTGGGGGCAGGGCCACAGTTCAGGCACTGGTGGCTCCCCCACTTTTAGGAAGCTTCCACCGCCCCTTGATGGAACCAGCCCCAGACAGGGGACACAGGGAGTCACTCTCTTTTGAAACCCTGGGGATGCCCAGATTAACACTGAGTCCTGAGTTTCCATACCAATGGAATGAGGTGTGGAGGTGACCCTCTCTCTCACACAGGGCCTAGCACCTGCAAGTGCTGATCACCCCAGATATCTTAGGAGCAAGGGCTGTAGGATCCTGGAGCTGAAGCTGACCTGCAGAGACCATCCAGATCCTAACACCCAAGAGGACAGGGATACTTACTCTGCGAGGTCACAGTCTCCTAATTCTCCTGCATGACGTCCCTGTAGAGGGCTCTCTAATAGGGTCCAGCAGAGCCCCCTGCCCCTCGGTGAAATACACAGCCACCTCCTCGAAGGTCACCAGCCCCTGAAACAGCCAGAGTCCCCCTCTCAGAACCTGCTGCCCCAGCCACAATCCCGACAGCTCAGTCACAGACATCTCTGCTCCAATCTCAACTGCATTATGCTTTTCAATGGCACTTTTCCATCCTGTGACCCCTGGGATAGACTGACCTCCCAGTAATCCCTCTCCCTTCCCACTCAGACCTATTGCTTTCTCCCTGTTGTTATCCCATTGCCGGTGCCCAGTCAGGTATCTATCACTGTCAAAAACACTCTACACTAACAAATGAATTCAGCCTTGTCTTGAGTTCCCAGTGCTGTTGGTTCTCCGGCCTCCTTCCTCAAGAGCTAGGTAGCCACAGAGAGAAATAATTTTTTACTTCATAACAATTAGAAGTATCTAGAAGGGTCCCATAGGGGTCTGTCCTAAGTCCAATACTATTCAATATTTTCATTAACAACTTGGCTAATGACGTGGACACTATGCTTATAAAAACTGCAGATGAAACCAAGCTGGGAGGGGTTGAAAGCACTTTGGAGCCCAGGATTAGAATTCAAAATGACCTCAATAAATTGCAGAATTGGTGTGAAATCAACAAGATGAAATGAAATAAAGACAAGTGCACCATACTACTCTGAGGAAGGACAAATCAAATGAACAAATACAAAAGGGGGAATACCTGGCCAGGCATTAGTACTACAGAAAAGCATCCGGGAGCTATAGTGGATCCCAAGCTGAACAGGATGAAAGAATGTGAAGCCGTTGTGAAAAAGACTAATATTATTCTTGGGTGAATGAACAGGAGTATCATATGTAAGACACAGGAGCTAACTGTTCCACTCTCCTCTGCACCCGTGAGGCCTCAGCTGGAGTATTGTGTCCAGTTTTTAGCATCGCACCCTCAGAAAGATGTGGACAAATTGAAAAGAGACCATAGGAGAGCAACACAAATGATAAAAGGTTTAGAAAACCTGACCTATGAGGAAAGGTTAAATAACCTGGGCATGTTTAGACGTGAGAAAAGAAGACTGAGGGGGGACCTGATAACAGTCTTCAAATATGTTAAGCGTTGTTATAAAAAGGACGGTGATCAGTTGTTCTCCATGTTTACTGAAGGTAGGACAAGAAGTAATGGGCTTAATCTGCAGCAAGGGATTTTGAGATTAGATATTCAGAAAACCTTGCTAATCTATAAGGATAGTTAGGTTCTGAATGAGGTTAACTGGTGAGTTTGTGGAATCCCCATCACTGGAGGTTTTTAAGAACAGGTTGGATAAACACTTGTCAGGAATGGTAAATGTATAGTTGGGCCTGCATCAACACAGGGGGCTGGAGTAGACGACCTCTCAAGATCCCTTCCAGCCCTATATTTCTTTGATTCTATAGCTAGTCATTTATTTCTTAGGAGTGGTAAGAGAATCTATCCATTCTGTGGTGGTGATCTTTAGTGATATTCAGTGTGATGAAGCAAAGAAACTTCCAACCAGCACAGTAAGGGTTAAAGAAAACCTTTGGGACCAGCTAGCCCCGCCCCGCTATACCTGCAACCAATGCCAGGCCTGGAGGGGGGATAAAAGAAGGGAGCTTGGCTCAGTTCAGGGCTGACTGGGGAAGAGACAGGAGCTAGTTGTCTCCCTGCCTGAAGAGATGGAGCACTGGCTCCCCAACCAAGGGAGGCTGTGGAGGAACCCCCAGCATGGGAAGTAACTGGCTGAGTGAACCCCAGAGACATTGTGTGGGTCAATCTCACCAGCTTGTGGCTGTCCTGCCTGAAGGAGTCTGGGATGACAGCAAGGTTCTGTCTGCACCCCAGAGGGAATCCTGTGGGAAGCAAGCTGCCTGGTAGATTGGACTAGAGGGGCCATGCCCCAAATGGAACGGACTGGTAGTAAGTAGCCCAGGATAGTAACTTCTCCCTGCCAAGAGGGACACCAAGCCCACTGTTCAGGGTTTGACATACAGGGCCCTAGGCTGGGACCTGGTGGTGATGGAGGCCCTGGGTGCCCCATCCTCCACCCAGCCTTAAAAGCTGAGGCTACTCAGCCAGCAGGGGGCTGAGGTATAGTGGATATAGTGTACTTACATTTTCAAGGTCCCTCACCAAAGGCTCTTAAGCAAACTAAGCTGTCATGGGATAAGAGGGAAGGTTCTCATGGATTGGTAACTGGTTAGAAGACAGGAAACAAAGGGTAGGAATAAATGGTCAGTTTTCAGAATGGAGAGCAGTAAATAGTGGTGTCCCCCAGGGGTCTGTACTGGGACCAGTACTGGTCAACATATTAATAAATGATCTGGAAAAAGGGGTAAACAGTGAGGTGGCAAAATTTGCAGATGATACAAAACTACTCAAGATAATTAAGTCTAAAGCAGACTGCGAAGAGCTCCAAAGGAATCTCACAAAACTGGGTGACTGGGCAACAAAATGGCAGATGAAATTCAGTGCTGATAAATGCAAAATAATGCACACTGGAAAACATTATCTCAACTTTACATATAAAATGAGGGGGTTTGTTAGCTGTTACCACTCAAGAGAGAGATCTTGGAATCATCGAGTGGATGTTTTCAGAGAACTAGCCACAATGTGCAGCGGCAGTCAAAAAAGCAAACAGAATGTTGGGAATCATTAAGAAAAGGATGGATAATAAGACAGAAAAGATCATATTGTCTCTATATAAATCCATGGTACGCCCGCATCTGGAATACTGCGTGCAGATTGGTTGCCCCATCTCAAAAAAGATATATTGGAATTGGAAAAGGTTCAGAAAAGGGGAACAAAAATTATTAGGTGTATGGAACAGCTTCCATATGAGGAGTGATTATTAAGACTGACTTTTCATCTTGAAAAAGAGATGACTGGGGGGAATACGATAGAGGTCTATAAAATCATGACTGGTGTGGAGAAAATAAATAAGGAAGTGTTATTTACTCCTTCTCATAACACAAGAACTAGGGGTCACCCAATGAAATTAATAGGCAGCAGATTTAAAATAAACAAAAGGAAGTATTTTTTCACACAACGCACAGTCAACCTGTGGAACTCCTTGCCAGAGGATGTTGTGAAGGCCAAGACTATAACAGGGTTCAAAAAAGAACTCGATAAGTTAATGGAGGGTAGGTCCATCAATGGATATTAGCCAGGATGGGCAGGGATGGTGTCCCTTGCCTCTGTTTGCCAGAAGCTGGGAATGAGCGGCTGGGAATGGATCATTCAGTGATTACCTGTTCTGTTCATTCCCTCTGGGGCACCTGGCATTGGCCATTGTTGGAAGACAGGATACTGGGCTAGATGGACCTTTAGTCTGACCCCAGTATGCCCGTTCTTATGTTCTTATCTAACCACTAGGCTGCCCAGTCATCCAAGCCCTGTTCTAGTCAGTAATAGTATTTTTTGTCATAAAAAACTAGATAACTGATAGACTCAATGTTTTTAATTAGTAATTTAACTACTTACTGTACAATTATGGGAAATTACTAAATAATTCACATACTTAGTAGGGCTGTCAAATGATTGTGATTAAAACAATTGCAATTAATTGCAGTTTTAATTGCACTGTTAATAACAGAATACCAATTTTAATTTATTATAAATATTTTTGGATGTTTTTCTACATTTTCAAAAAATATTGATTTCAATTACAATGCAGAATGCAAAGTGTAGAGTGCCCACTTTATATTTTTTATTAAAAATATTTGCACTGTAAAAAAGAAAAAGAAAGTGAGTGCAATATACAAGTCAAAGCATGAAGGGGGATACGAATGTTAAGCATATTTGGCACGTAAATACTTTGCAACGCTGGCTAAAAGTGTCACACGAACACCTTTTCTCACTTTCAGGGGACATCGTAAATAAGTAGCAGCCAGCATTATCTCCCGTAAATGTAAACAAACTTGTTTGTCTTGGCGATTGGCTGAACAAGAAGTAGGACTGAGTGGACTTGTAGGCTCTAAAGTTTTACATTGTTGGGGTTTTTTTGTGCAGTTATGTAAAAAAATAATTCTTCATTTGTAAGTTGCACTTTCATGATAAGAGGTTGCACTTCAGTACTTGTATGAGGTGAATTGAAAAATACTATTTTTTTT